CCTCCTCTGCTGTTGTTCAATTCTCTCCCTTTTTTCTCCCCTCCCCCTTGCCCCTCATAACCTCTTATTGGCCCCCTTCTTTAGAATTCATGCCTGACCTATAGGTATTGTGCACAAATCTTTGTTGTGACAAACTCTGAAAGTACCTCTAACTTCCTATTCTTCCATTTCAAAGAATCTAACTCTTGCCTTTAGATTTTTCAGGTGTGAGTCAACAACTAAATTCCAAGGGATATAGGTTGACTGTTCTAAATGGTCCTCTTGTAGCTTCTTACTTGTGTTGAGATGAGGAAAAAAATCTCCACACTCCTTGTACATGACACAAATAACTAGTATTAAAGAAACAGGCATTCTTGAGGTCTTTTCATATATACTCCATATACTCTTAGCCTCTTCTGAAATAGCTTGGAGAGAGATGATAGGCTAATGCTGGCAGAACTAGGTTTTGACAACTGGGTTTTGACCTTATCTTTCACAAATTCTGCACAGAAGCGGGAGGGGTGGGGATACTTGTCATTTATTTTGTTTTCCTCCATGAGGCCACTGTCCAAATCTAAGACAAAAATAAAAGCCACAATTAACATTCCTGACAACATATATGTTAAGACACATCCAAAAAGTTTTACTCTTGCTGTGTGTGTGTGTGTGTGTGTGAGAGAGAGAGAGAGAGAGAGAGGGAGGGAGAGAAAAAGAGAGACAGATCCTTCCTCCATGACCCCCAGGATAAAGGATTATAGATTTGCAATTAAACAATAGAAACTGACTTCTTCAAATTCAAAATCTGTAAATGGGCCAGGTGTGGTGGCACATGCCTGTAACCCTAGCAGCTCAGGAGGCTGAGGCAGGAGGATTACAAGTTCCAGGCCAGCCTTGGCAACTTAGTAAGGCCCTAAGCAATTTAGTGAGACCCTGTCTCAAAATAAAAAATAAAAAGGGCTGGGGATGTGCCTCAGCCTCCCGAGTTTCTGGGATTACTGGTATGTGTCATCACGCCTGGCTCCAACCCACTCTTACATTGCCATTTATGTTTCCTTACCTAGTGAATAAGTCATCATCTCTCCTGAACCAATCAGTCATTAAAAACTATTGATTATTCCTTATAAATTGTTCTCAAATTATTTCTTCTGTGGTTGCTGCTAAATAAAATTCAGGTCTTACTTGGAATGCTATAATAGTCACCTCTTCAATCTAATCATTTCTTCTAATACATCTTTTTCTTTGCATCTTTTTATTGCTTTAAGACAGAAATCTGATCAGGCACATTTCTGTGAAGAGGCAGGAATTCTGGTTAGGTACTGCAAAAATGCCACAAAAATCTACACTCAATGGGACTGAAGTTGTGGTTCAGCGGTAGAGTGCTCGCCTCCTACTTGCGAAGTCCTGAGTTTGATCCTCAGTACCACATAAAAATAAATAAATAAAATAAAAAGGTATTGTGTCCAACTACCACTAAAAAATAATAATAAAAAAACTACACTCAAGGATACCCTTGCCAGGTGTAGTACACATTTGTAATCCCAATGACTCAGGAGGCTCAAACAAGAAGACAGCAAATTTAAGGTCAGCCTCAACAATTTGGCAAGAACCTGTCTCAAAATTAAAAAATTTAAAAATGACTAGAGCATGCTGGGTTCATTTCCCCATATCAGAAAAAAAAGTTAATTTATCTTCACTACCACACTTGTGTCAGCACAGAATACTTGCACTTTAGACTCCAACAGAAGACAACATTATTCATTTTGCCATTTAAATCTGGGGGAAAAAATCTAATTATAAGACAGTAAAAGTTTTACACAACAATTTAAAAGACACAAAATCTATCAAATAGCTCTAGACTTTTTCATTGTATCTTAAGAAATTCAGAGCCAAAATCTGACACAATTAAAGCATCTGACATTTAACTCTTATGGCTTATTTATTTTTGTTCTAACTCCCTTTCTATATATATATATATATATATATATATATATATCCTATAAAGAACTAATTTCTTTGATCATCTTTTTTACAGCTTAATTGAGATATAATTCATACATAATACAATTCATTAATTTAATGTGTAAACTTCAATAGTTTTTAGAATATGCATAGTGTTATGTATCCATCATAATCACAACCAATTTTTGATCATTTTCATCACCCCCAAACAAAACATTATACCTATTTCCATTAGCAGTTAATCACCATTTCTTTCCAAACCTCTCAGCTTTAGGCAATTACTAACCAACTTTCTGTCTGTATTTATTTGTGTATTATGGACACCTCAGATGAATATAATCATAAAATATGTGGTCTTGTGTGACTATCTTTTTTCATTTAGCATAATAATTTCAGGGTTGATTCATGTTGAGGCCTATATCAGTATTTCATTCATTTTTATTGCTGAACAATATTTCATTATATGGATATACCATATAATATTTACTCATTCATAAGTAAATCGACAGCTGGGCTGTTTCTACTTTTTTGGGAATTATGTATAAAGTTGCTATGAACATTCATGTGTAAGTTTTTGTGTAGACATGTTTTTATTTCTCTTAGGTTTGTGTATCTAGAAGTAGACTGCTGAATCATATGGTAACTATATGTTTCACATTTTGAGAAACTGCCAAATTTTTTCAAAGCTGCTTTGCTATTTAAAATTCCTACCAGCAATGTCTGAGGAAGAATACATTTCAATTTCTCCACATCCAATAATTCCACCTGTTACCGCCTGTCTTGTTTTATATTTATTTTTTAGATGTAGGTGGACACAATATCTTTATTTCATTTTTAAATGGTGCTGAGGTTTGAACCCCATGCCTCATGTGAGCTAGGCAAGCACTCTACCCCTGAGCCACAATCACAGCCTCTACCATCTGTCTTTTTGATTTTAGCTTTCTTAGAAAGTGTGAAGTGGTATCTTGTAGTTGTGGTTTTCATTTCCCTAATGGTTAATGATACTGAAAATTTTTTCATGTTCAGATCCTTTGTCCATTGTTAAACTGGCTTATTTGTCCTTTTATTGTTATATGAGTTCTTTATATATATTATGGATATAAGTCCCTTATCAGATATAGAATCTGAAAACATTTTCTCCCATTCTGTGGTGTCTCCTATCTTTGTTTTTAAACTTATATGAATTTTCTGTAAGTTCTTTCAAATTCTTTGAGGGTTAACACATTTTAAAAATTTCATAATGTGCTACAGTCCTACTGAAAATTGGTCAGAGGCTGTCAACACTTTCAGGATAAAATAAAAAAAATCCCAGGCCTTAAGGTCATACATGATCCAGACTGTGACCACCTCCTTCAATCTACATCCTGTCTCTCTCATGAAGCACCCTCTACCCTTTAGTCCACATGCCACAAATAAAACTCTTTCTCTACTAATGCCTGTCCTCAGTGTTCCCCGTCTTAATAATTTGTAACTCCATTCTTTTCTTTTTTTCCTTGAAGGAGCTCCCAAAGCAAGAAATATTGACATCATTTTTTGAATAATAATAGTAATTCCATCTGGTACAGGCTTGTTTGAATTAAATCCTAATAGATATAATGTTTTAAGTCCATTACATGCATAATTCATCATTATTTGTTCTCAGGAGCCACAAAAGTCAATCTTTTCTTAAGCTTTAACAAAGCTACAATGTGTATTTTGTGAAAATTCCTAAGGCAATACTGAACACTACACTGGGATGGCAGGTCCTTTTTGGCAATTTACAATGAACAGATTATTTTTCAGACTACTAAGAATATAAAGAATTATAAGTCCAAATCAATTTAGTAAAAATGATACAATTATTTGTAATCCACAGTATTGATTATTTTCCCACAATAGTGCATTTCATACAATATGAATTTAGCAAGGAAAATGTGCCTTGCCACCATAAACATACATTGGAGAAAAGATAGCCTTTTCAACAAATGGTGCTGGGAAAACTGGAAATCCATATGTAGCAGAATGAAATTGAACCCCTATTTCTCACCCTACATAAAAATCAACTCAAAGTGTGGATTGAAGACGTAGACATTGGACCAGAGACTCTATGCCTACTAGAAGAAAATGTAGGCCCAACTCTCTCTCCATCATGTTGGCTTAGGAACCGACTTCCTCAACAAGACTCCTAAAGTACAAGAAGTAAAATCAAGAATCAATAAACGGGATAGTATCAAACTAAAAAGCTCTTCACAACAGAGGAAACAATCAAGAATGTGAAGAGAGAGCCTACAGAATGGGAGAAATTGTTTATCACCTGTACCTCAGAGCATTAATCTCCAGGATATACAAAGAACTCAAAAAATTTAACACACACACACACACAAAAAAAACAAAAAAAACAACTGCCCAAATAACCCATCAATAAAGGGGAAAAATAAATGAACAGGCACTTCACAGAAGAAGAAATTTGAATGGCCAACAGATATATGAAAATATGTTCAACATTTCTTTGCAATTAGAGAAATGCAAATTAAAACTACACTGAGACTGCCATTTCACTCCAATCAGAATGGTAATTACCCAAGGATACAAGTAACAATAAATGTCGGTGAGGATGTGGGGAAAAAATGTTCACTCATGTATTGCTGGTGGAAATGCAAATTGGTGCAATCACTAGGGAAAGCAGTATGGAGATTTCTTAAGAAATCTGTAATGGAACCACCATTTATCCCAGTTATTCCACTCCTTGGTATACATTCAAAGGACTTAAAATCAGCATATTACAGTGATTCAGCCACATCCATATTTACAGCAGCTCAATTCACAATAGCTAAACTATGGAACCCAACTAGACACCCTTCAAAAGATAAATGGATAAGAAAATGTGATACATATACACAATGGAATATTACTCAACCATAAAGAAGAATGAAATTATGGCATTTGCCTGTAATGGATGGAACTGGAAACTATCATGCGAAGTGAAATAAGGCAGTCCCAAAAAACCAAAGGCTGAATGTTCTCTCTGATATATGGATGTTGACACACAACAAGGCAGGGTGGAGAATAGAAGTTCTTTGAATTAGACAAAGGGGAATGAAGGGAAGGGAGGGGAAATGGAAATAAAAAAGAGTAAAATAAACTGGACATAACTTTTCTGTGTTCATATATGAATACACAATCACTGAAACTTCACCTCATGTTCAGCCACAAGAAAGGGATCCTAATTAGAATAAGTTATACTCCATGTATGTATAATATGTCAAAATACACCCTACTGTTATTTGTATCTAAAAATAACAAAAAAAAACTTAATTGCAAAAAAAATGTGCTTTGCAGTCTTCTTTTTCTTAACTTTATTTTATTTATTTATTTTTATGTGGTGCTGAGGATTGAACTCAGGGCCTCACACATGCTAGGCAAGCACTCTACTGCTGAGCCACAACCCAAGCCCTGCAGTCTTCTTGCTTTAAGAGCAAAGGAGAAATAATTTTGGAAATTGAGCAAGGACTAGAATAGAATGTTAACTTTATAATTTTGCAGAAAGCAAAACTAACAGAAAAACAAGGAAGGAAAGAACAAGATTGGAATTATTACAATTAGTACATTAAAGCAAAATCAAATTTGCTTATTAATGGCAAATGTGAATAAATAAACACTTGACTAATTTCTACAAATGAAGCTTAGACATGCTATTTGAGTTTAAACCAAATAACTTCAATTAGATAAAAAGTATATAAGAAGAGTTTTGTAAAATGCTATTTTATAGATCTATTAAGTTGAAATTGTGGAATCAGCTTAACTGTATCTTCCCATACCTCACCATTCGGTCCACTACCAGATCTTGTTAGTTTCACTTTCAAAATACATTCAAAATCTAACCATAGGGCTTGAGCTGTGGCTCAGTGGTAGAGTGCTTGCCTTGCATGTGTGAGGCCCTGGAATCCTCAGCACCACATAAAAATAAATAAAGATATTGTGCCTAACAAAAAAAAAATCTAACCATAACTCACCACCTCTGCTCTTCTCATTCTAGTCCAACTCTAATATCCCTTGTTTAGATTAGTGCAATAGCCTCTTATCATCTCCCTAATTCCTTGCCTCCTCATAATCTATTTTGATTGACAGCAGCTAGAGCAATTCCTCTAAAACATGTCATGTTGTGCCATTTTTCAAAGGTTTCCCAGTTCACTTCCGTTGACTTACAATGTAACAACAATAACTCACCTGGCCGCCTGCTGCTTCTCTTACTTCATTTTCTCTTTCCACTCCAGAAGCTCAGGCCTTCTTGTCTTACGGCCCTCTTCTGGCTTTTCTTTCTCCTGGAATGTGCTTTCCTCAATTTACAATATCTCTTTCTTTAATATCTGCCCCAAAGCTGCCTTTTCAATGACAATTTCCCTAACCATACTATTTAAAATATCAAATCTCCACCTCAAAATTCCCTGGTCCCCATCTTGCTTTATTTTTCTCCATATCATTCAATACAATATAACAGTATAAATCCATTTGCTTATTTGTTTATTGTCCATCTCTTTCAACTAGAATTAAAACCAAAAGTTTTTAATAAATTTTGTGTACTACTGTATGTCCAACAACTAGAACAATCCAGTTACTAGTGAGGCCTCAACAAATACTGAATGAATAAATTTCTGAGTTTGTAGACTGACCAACATACTTGCCATATAACTGTTAGAATACAGGGGTTTAAAAAGCACAACTTTAGGGCTGGGGATGTGGCTCAAGCGGTAGCATGCTCGCCTGGCATGCGTGCGGCCTGGGTTCGATCCTCAGCACCACATACCAACAAAGATGTTGTGTCTGCCGAGAACTAAAAAAAATAAATATTAAAAATTCAAAAAATAAAAAATAAAAAAATAAAAAGCACAACTTTAGGGGCTGAGGTTGTGATTCAGTGGTAGAGTGCTTGCTTAGCATGTGTGAGGCACTGGGTTCAATCCTTAGCACCATATAAACAGCAAATAAATAAAATAAAGTATAAAAAAAGAACAACTTTAAAATTTTTAGTTCTTACTTTTTTCTGTGGCATTTTTGATAGTTTTCTAAAGAGGTGTCTAGGAAAGAAAAAAGTCAATATTAGAAATATATAAAAATTCTAAGACAAACCAGAAGCTAAAATTACTCTAGGTAAAAATACATATTTCTCCAACCACAGATAGATATAATGCAGTTTATTTTTTTATAATTATATTGTTTTTCATATCTTCCAGTTAAATTAGATAAAAGTATTTTTAAATTATCAAAGTAAAACAAAAATGTTACAAAATTCTATGAGATACAGGAATCATGTCACTTTGTATTGGGACGGTTTTTAAAAAATAATTTTGGTCTTTTTACATCTTAGGATTTTTACAATAATCCTATCAGTCAAATATACCATTTTATTATGCTAATTTTACATATAAGAAAATAATAACTGGCCAGGTTACAAAACTAACAGCTAGATACCTGAAATTTAAACTCTGGCTTCACGATTCTTAGCCCCATATCAAATTCTAGAGATGCATTCTAGTAGATTAATTAATCACAAGCCTGACTCTCAACCAACATATTACTGCCTCAACCAACATATTACTGTTCCTAGGAATATAATTAGTTAGTCTACAGATGTTAGAGAAGTTGCAGAACTTAAAAATAAGAACTTTTAAGGAGAGATGACTCACTTCCTTGAGAGGGAGGGTCCTCAACACATAGAGTGGTCATTTAGTCATTCAGCATCTACTCTTTTTGTTCCTAATTTTTCTTTTGATTGTCCAGCCATAGTCTATACCTTGCATCTCCCTGGCCAAAGTTACTGGGTCAGGGATAGGAATATATAACAATTTAAGTCAACGTGGAAGGGTTGGGGCTTCTGGTCAAACAGTCAGAAAAGAGAAGCACTTTTTTCATTGAATTTAAGGCTGTGAGCATATAAGTCTGGGGCTAGAAAGAATTACTACATGAAGGGACTTGGCTGAGAGTGTAACTAACACAAATGAATCCTGAGCTAAGAGATGGAGAAGAATCTGGTTCTACTGATACACTTGAAATCCTGGATCAAACTGTATATACAATTAGATTTTTTGTGTATTTTTATTTATTTAAAATTTGATTACATTTTCCACATCATTATATTTACTACTGAGTTTTTCAGGTACATGTGGCAATAAATTCTCTTTTTAACTGAATATAGTTTGAGTTAGGGAACTTGTTTTTTCATCAGCAATGGACAAAAAAATTCTATAACCAAAACACTTGCTAAAGTGACAGGTTGTTTCTTTGAATAATTTATATCAGCAAAGAAGTTGCCAAACTAAACAGAAGAAGAGGCTTTCAGTGAAAGAAATACTGTCACCCAGGAAACTATAGACTTTCCCATAAGAACCCCTAACCCAGCATTTAGTTCTTACACTAATATTGATATTCTTCTACCTAGTGCAACTCTAACAAGTGGGCTCACAACATCCATTCCTACTCCCCCTCTCCATTTTTTTTCCATTTTTCCAATGGCTTCTACCACTACAGAAGTTAGAAAACAAAATACTTAGTTTCAGCCTCCATAGTAGTAGGTAGATACCTGATCCAGTTCTGGCCAATAAGTCTGCGGGAGAATTTCTGGGATTAGTTTTGCTTGTCTGGAGATAGGCATGGCTACTACTGCCCTTTCACATTCCTTTTGCCAGCAGCATGGCTGTAAAGCCTAGAGATTTAGTAGCTATCTTTGTAACTATGGAGTAACAAGCTGACATACTTGGTAGCTGAAAGATATTAAGAGCCTAGTATCTTGATCCCATTAGTGAGGGGCTAAACAAGCTCTGGACTGGTATACAAGAAAAGTAAACTCAATATAAACATTTTTTTTGCATAGCAAAAAGTACCATAAACAAAAAGAAAAACTAGGAGAAAAGACTCACAAATTTATTGAAATATACCAATTTATTACCTGCATTTATACCACAGATAAAAGGTTAATATCCTTAATATATAAAGAACTGTTAAAACTATATTGTGTTTTTATTATTATTTTAGATTACTACACTTTACTATAAAACAGTATGTCACAGTGGCAGAAGCTTCAAAAAAAAAAAAAAAACTGTGGCTAAGGGTTGAGTGTATGTCACTCAGTGGTAGAGCCCTACTTGGGGCCCTAGATCCAGTAATGAATAAAAAATATTGACGATAAAGGATTTTAAAAAAGGTTAAAAATGGGGAAAATGAATGAAGAGAAAACTTATACATGAAAATTTTAAAACTCAAAATGGTCCTCAAACATATGAAAAATTTTAAACTCACATAAAATCAGAAAAATGCAAATTTAAGTAATAGAGATATCACTTATCACACATTCAGGTAGCATAATTTTAAAGTATGACAATACATCCTGTTGGCAAGTATATGAGAGACACACCCTTTCATTCATTGCTAGTGGGAAAGCAAATTGATATGACCCTTCTGGAGAAAAGTTTGGCAATATCCAACAAATCTATTTATCCACTCATCTTTCAAACTTGCCATCTGCCTCTGGGCTAACAATAAGAAAATCCATATCATAGTTTATTAATCAAAGTATTTTTTTGTGGTGGAAAAATATTGGGAAAAAATTAAATACCCAATTCACAAGAGGGTGGTTAACAAAAAAAAAAAAAAAGGAATAGGCACACAGAGTACTATTGTGAGAAAGAGTTCTATAAACTGTTCTATAACCTTTAGGGAATGATTTCTAGTATAGACTGTTAAGTGGAGAATATAAAGTAAACAATAGTACCTATATAGTGTAAATCCTTCATGTAAACAACAGCAACATGTAAAGAAATATACCAGTATTTACTCGTTTGTACAAAAGAAATACAGGAAGGATACACCAGAAACCAAACAGATTGATTACTTATAAGGAGCAAGTGTAAGTGGGTAAAAAGAAGAGAATGAGATAAGGGTGGAAAGGAGAAGTGATAAATTTCTAATAACTTTTTTTTTTTGTACTGAGGATTCCCAGAAGCATCTTTGTGGAATTCTTACCAAAAATTGCATAACTTAATTACAATCATGAGAGAACATAAAGAAAAATCCAAAGTGAGGGAACTTCTACAAAATAACTAACCTAGTCAGTTATCTTCAAAACTATTCAGATTATGAAAAAACAAAAACAAACTATTCGGATTATGGAAGATTGAGAACTGTTACAAAATGCAGGAAACTAAGAAGACTTAATAAATGCAAAGGGGATCCTAATAAGGATCCTGAAACAGAGTAAGAGATGTCAGTGGAAAAACCAGTGAAATTTGAATAAGGTCTGTAATTTAGACAATAGTTATATCAGTGTTAAAATCCTGGTTCTAATCATTGTACTACCACTATAATAAGATAACATAAGAGGCTGGGCACAGTGGCACATGACTGTCATACCAGTGGCTCAAGAGTCTGAGGCAGGAGGATTGCAAGTTCAAAACCAGTCTCAGCAATTTAGCAAGGCCCTAAGCAACTTAGTGAGACCCTATCTCAAAAAAAAAAAAAAAAAAAAAAAAGGCTGGGGATGTAGGTCAGTGGTAAAGTAAAAAAAAAGAAAGGAAGAAAGAAAGATAATACTAGGTGAGAGACATAGGGGAATCCCCGTACCATTTTTCTACAAATTATTCTGTAAGTCTGAAATTAGTTCAAAATAAAAAGTTTTAAAAAGTAAACTCATGAATACTTATACTACTATTATTATTTGTAGCTAAAGTTAATCCAAATTGGTAAGTTCATCTTAGAAATATTCAGGAGAAAAATATGCTGTTTTTCCAGTATAGACGAGGGATTTTCACCCTGTAACATGAGATAAATGAATTTTAAAACTCACTCAGAATTGCAGAGAAGTCTGAAAACTGCGGCACCTTCTCTATTGTTACTGCTTTACTGTTATCCAGAAGAGTAGAGTTCTTACATTGCTTTTGTTCTTTCATCTTGGGATACTCCCAATCTAATAAAGCAGGGGTGAAATGATTAAAAACTTTCAATGACAGATGACAAAGTGGCAGGTTATTTCCCCTCCTCAAGTTAGAGCCCCACTCCACAACAAAGTTGGGTAATTAAAGGTTTTGGAAGAAACAGAACAAAAGACAAGCCTTGACACCATCAAGGTAAGAAATAATCTATGGTTTGTTGCAGTTCTTTGTCTTTGTCTTCCTTCCTAGATTTTAGCTCCACAAAGATTACTGATCTGAGAAACAGAAAGCATACATGCAACCACCTGATTCTCATATTTTATGTATGTTATGCCTATGATATTAAATATCATTTAACTAAGCAACATACCTATACTGCTATTCCTTGATATCAGTTTTAAGCTCTCAATTGACTTCCCATTATGGAGGAAAGAAGCTATTCTCCTCTTACAGTTCCCTGTTCCCACTGTTTCCATTTTCCATATACCGTCACATCTTACAGTTAGATCAAAATTCAATCTAGATATTATGATGGTAAAATATTACTAAAATGCTCTTTACTCTTGGGGTGTACCATGACCATCTTTTGTTTTCCCTAAAGTCAGTCTTTTTTCTCTCATTGCTTTAAGTTTCTGGGTGTTTTTCATCTATTTAATCTCAAACTCTTCCAAACTGTACAAATCCATTCCATTAATTTCATTCCCTGGTATTCTGAAGTTCATAATGCTGTGCCTTATTTCATAATGAGTACTAGCACACTGTAGTCCTTTTAATCCACAAACTAATGTTCTTTAGCTCTAGCAAATATTCTTGAGTTATTTCCTTGATATTTAATTATCTTCTGTGTTTTCATTAACTCTTTTAGGAACTCCTATTTATTTGAAGTTGGACTTCATATATGGTTCCTCCAACATTTTTTCTTCCAAATTTCTATCTCTTTGTTTCCCCCTTTTCCCATTTCAATTTTTTTTTATTTTTTAATTTTTAGTTGTAGATGGACATGATACCTTTATTTTATTTATTTATATGGTGCTGAGGAACAAACCCAGTGCTCCACGCATCCAAGGCAAGCGCTACACCCCTGAGCCACAACCCCAGCCCCATTTCAATTCTTTTTTATGAGAAATCTATTCAACTTTATCTTTTAATCCTTTAACTTGGTTTTCCATTCTGTTATTGCATTTAATTACTGGCAATATTCTATTTTTATAGCATCCTATTCTTATTTAATGAACACAACAAATTAGGGAAAGTCTTTCATCAATGACAACTTTAAAAAATATTTTCTTCTTCTTATTTTTATTTCTGCTTGGCTCCCTTATACAATCTACTTTCTTGGCAAATTTTTAAATATTGTTCACTATAGGCACAGTGTTATATACAAGATATGATGGTAAAAAATTTTCTATTCAACTTAATACCTGTTGAATAGAAACTCCTCATTTTCCTCTCCTACACCTCCTATCAAGCACCATTCTGCTCCTATGATTTTATCTAGCTTAGATACCTCATATACATAGAATTATAGAATATTTGTTCTTCTATGACTGGATTATTTCACTCAGCATAATGTCCTCAAGGTTCACCCATGTTGTCACAAATGAAGTATTTCTTTTTTTTTTTTAAGGCTGAACAGTATTCCATTGTATATGTATATCAAACTTTTCTTTATCCATTCATCTGTCCATGGACCTCTAGGTTGTTTCCATATCTTGGCTATTGTGAACAATGCTTCAAGAACATGGAAGTACCAATAATTCTTTGAGATCTTGACTTCAACACAGAAGAGATTGCTAGATCATTCTAAATCATTCTAATTCTATTTTTAATTTTTAGAGAAACTTTTATAGTTTTTCATAGCTACTGCACCACTTTACATCTCCAACAACAGTGTACAAGGGTGATAGCTTATTCCCATGCCTGCCAATATGTTATTTTTTGTTTTTTGATAACAGTAATTTTAACAGTTGTGAGGTGTTATCTCATTATGATTTGGATTTGCATGTTGCTGATTATTAGTGGTGTTGAGCATTTCTTTTTTGTTTACCTGCTAGCTATTTCTGTGCGTTCTTTGAAGAAATGTCTATCAAGGTTTTTTGCCCATTTTACTGTTTTGTTTTGTTATTGAGTTGTAGAAGTTCCTTATATATTTTAGATGTTAACCCCTTTATCAGATATATGGTTTACAAACATCTTCTCCCATTCTTCAGGCTGCCTTTTCACTGTTGTTTCTTTTACTGTGAAGATGTTTTATAGTTTTATATACTATTATCTGTCTACTTTTGTTTTTATTTTTTGTACTATTGAGTCACATTGAAGAAATCCTTACTAAGAAAATTGTTATGAAGCTTTTCTTGTGTTTTATTCTGGGAATTCTACAATTTTAGTTCTTATGTTTAAGTCTTTAATCCATTTTGAGTTGATTTTTGTGTGTAGCATAAAGGTCCAATTTCATTCTTTTCCATATGAATAGCTAGCTGTACCAGCGGTATTTGTTGAAGAGATTATCTTTTGTTTATTGTATGCTTTGTCAAAGATCAATTGACCACATACATACACATACCCCCCCCCACACACACACACACGGGTTGATTTATGGGTTCTTCATCCTACTAGTCTATGTTTCTGCCATACTGTTTTGATGACAGTATGATGTTAACATATTATTTTAATTATTATAGATTTGCAATATATTTGAAAGCAAGAAGTCTGGTTTTCCTATTTTATTTGCATTTCTCAAGATTGTTTTGCCTACTTGAGGTCCTTTGTGGTTCCATAGGAATTTTAGGGTTTATTTTGTATTTCTATAAAAAGGGCCATTGAGATATTCATAGGGATTACATTGGATTTGTAAGGTTGTTTTGGATACATGAACATTTTATCAATAGTAAATCTGTGAATCTATGAGTACCTGATGTTTTTCTACTTATATTTTAATTTCTTTCACTATTTTAGAATTTACAGTGTTTTGGAATTTAACCCTATAAGTTTATTCTTAAATATTTTATTCTTTTAAAAATATTTTTTAGTTATAGATGGACTCAATACCTTTATTTTTATTTATTGTTTTTTGTGTGATGCTGAGAATCGAACCCAGTGCCTCACATGTGCTAGGCAAGCACTCTACCACTGAGCCACAACTCCAGCCCCAAATATTTTATTCTTTTTGATGTCATTGTAAATAGGATTATTTTATCAATATACTTTTTTTAAAAAATTCTTTATAGTTGTAGATGGACAGTATGTCATTTTATTTATTTTTTAATGTGGTACTGAGGATCAAACCTAGTGCCTCACACTCTTATCACTGAGCTACAGCCATAGCCCTCAATTTACTTTTTATTTAGTTTGTTATTAATGTAAAGAAATGCAACTGACTTTTGTGTTGATTTTGTATCTTGCAACATTACTAAATTTGTTTATTCAAATAAGTTTTTGTGGAATCTTAAGGTTTTTTTTATCATATAAGATCAAAGTTCATATATTTTGAAAATAGAGGTAATTTTATTTCTGCCTTTTCAATTTGGATGCTTTTAATTCTTTTTGTTGCATACTTGATCAACACTGTACTAAACAGAAGTGGTAAAAGGAAAATATATCAGTTCTTTTTTTAAATCATTCAGTATGTTAGCTGTGAGCTTTTCTTATATAGTCTCTATTATGTTGAGGTAATTGACTTCTCTTTCTCATTTGTTAAGTTTTTACCATAAAAGCATTCTGTCAAATATTTCTCTTGCATCTATTGAAATGATTATACAATTTTTATCCTTTATTCTATATGATGTATTACATTTATTTGTAATCGAAACATCCCTGCATCTCAGGGATGAATGCCTCTTGGTCATGGTGTAGGATCCTACTAATGTGCTGTTGAATACAGAGTGCTAATATTTTGTTAGAATTTTTGCATCTATTTTCATCAGGGATATTGATCTATAGTTGTCTTTTCTTGTAATATTAGTTTGGCTTTGGCATAAAGGTAATGCTGGTCTTGTAAAATGAATTTGGAAATGTACCCTCCTCTAATTTTTGTTTTGAAGAAATGGCATTACTTTTTAAAAACTGTTTGGTGGGATTTGCTCATGAAGCCATGTAGTCCTGGACTTTTCTTTGTTGGGAGGTTTTTTGATTACTGATTCAATTGTCCTTTCTTATCATTGGTCTGTTGAGACTTTCTATTTCTTCATGATTCAGTCTTGGTATGTTATATTTCTAGGAATTTAGTCATTTCTTGTAGGTTTTTCATATGTTGTCACATAATTATCCATAGTTGTTTTTTGTGATTCTTTATATTTCTGTGGCATCAGTTGTAATGTTTTGTCATTCACTTATAATTTTATGAACCTGTATCTCCTTTTTTCTTGGTAAGTCTAGCTAAAGGTTTGTAATGCTGTTCATCTTTTTAAAAACTCTTAGTCTTTTTTCCATTGTTTTTCTATTCTCTATTTCATTTCTGTTCTAATTTTTATTATAGCTTCCCTTCTACTAACTTTGGGATTTGTTTGTTCTTTTTCTAGGTCCTTTATGAGTAGTTTTACCTTGTTTGAGATTGTTCTCTTTTATTGTAGTTATTGCTACAAAACTCCAAGTACTGCTTTGGCTATATTCCATGATTGAGTATGTTGATTTTTTTATAATATTTTTTAGATGTTGATGGATCTTTATTTACTCATTTATATGGAGCTCCAAACTGAACCCAGTGCTTCACACATGCTAGGCAAGCACTCTATCTCTGAGCTGCAACCCAGCTCTTCCATTAATTCTTTTTTTCATATTTTTTTAGTTGTCAATGGATTTTTAAACTTTATTTATTTATATGTGCTGCTAAAGATCGAACCAAGGGCCTCACACATGCCAGACAAGCACTCTACCACCAAGCCATAGTCACTGAGCCCCACTGATTCTTTTTTTTTATATATAATTTTTTTGAGAGAGAGAGAGAGAGAGAGAGAGAATGAATTTATTTTTAATATTTATTTTTTATTTTCGGCAGACACAATATCTTTGTTTGTATGTGGTGCTGAGGATCGAACCCAGGCCGCAAGCATGCCAGGCGAGCGTGCTACTGCTTGAGCCACATTCCCAGCCCCACGGATTCTTTATTCTTGAACCATTGTATTGAATTTTTAAGTTCAGTTATTATGTTATTTTGCTCCAAGATTTATTTGGCTCTTTTAAAAATTTTTCTCTTAGCCAAGCACAGAGGCACATGCCTATAATCCCAACAGCTTGGAAGGCTGTGACAGGAGGATCATGAGTTCAAAGCCATCCTCAGCAAAAGCAAGGCACTAAGCAACTCAGTGAGACCCTGTCTCTAAATAAAAATACAGAATAGGGCTAGGGATGTGGCTCAGTGGTCGAGTGTCCCTGAGTTTAATCCCTGGTAACCCACGCCCCCACACCAATTTTTTTTCTTTGTTCAAATTTTCACTTTGTTCATGTCAATTTTAATTTCATATATTTAGTGCTCTGATGTTAGGTGTACATATACATTGTATATGCTATATCTCCCTAGTGAGTCGACCCTTTTATCATTACACATTGTCCTTCCATATCTCTCATTTCTATGTCTCATATTAATATAGCCTGGCCTGAATAAACAGTTCTCTGGAGCTTCATTTGGCATCTTTATGATTAATATTTTGAATTAGTTGTCAGATAATTTCTTGTTTTAATAAGTTTTATATTTCTGTGACCAAAAGACATTTGTTGTCTACTTAGAACTACTTAGAGGAGGAAAAGTATATTTTGGCTTAGGGTTTCAGAGTTTCAGTCAATGGTTGGTCAACTTCATTCTTTGGGCCCAAGGTAAGGCAAAACATCATGGCAGAAAGGCATGGTGGAAGCAAGATGCACAGTTCATGACAGTAAGGAAATAGAGAGAGCACTGTTCACTGGGGACAAAGTAAACCCCAGAAGCATATCCCCAGTGACCTACTTACTGTTTCCAGTCCCACCTGTACCTGTCTACAGTTACCACTCAGTTAATCCATGTTGTTGAAAAGTACATGAGATAATAGATAATCTATAAAGTTCAGGAGAACAAGTATACATATATATACATATATATATATATATACATTACATACAAAATTGACTAATAATAAAATGTGTATGTAAGTGCTAAATGAATATACAGCTCTTGCTGTATATTCCTATGTGACTAAGCATGAAACACAATGGTAGTAGTCAGGGTATAGATGAGTTGGTATCGAAGAGAAGTATGCCTTCTCAAAAGGAACATTCATTCACTGGAAGATTTGTAGATAAAGGAATAATTTCTACAGTGCAGCAAATTAAAGTTGAAATTATATTCTCACCAAAATAATCTGATCCTCTGAACAGTTCAGGTGATGAGAAACTATCTAATTCCTCTTCAATACTCTTGTGTTCTGTATAAGACTCTGTGGTTGAACAGCTCAGGAGAGAACTGGAAACATCACATGGCAAACTTAGTCCTACAGAATCAAATACAAACAAAAGGGTAAACTGTTTTAATAGAAAACAGACTTGAAATCCTAAGAATTCAAATTCATAAAAAGTACATGCAGTGTATACTATGAATATAAGACTGCTTCTACAAACAAATTAAAAGCCGAATATTAAAATCCACTATAATTTGATTATATATATAATTGAATTCAGAGGCACTTAACCACTGAGCAACATTCCCAGACTTTTTGTTTTTTAATTTTTTATTTTTTAAATGTTTTTAATTGTTGACAGAGCTTTATTTTATTCATTCATTTGTATATGGTGCTGAGAATAGAACCCAGTGCCTCACATATTCGAGGCAACTGCTCTACCTCTGAGCCACAGCTCCAGCCCAGTCCTTTTTATCTTTATTTTGAGACAGATCCTTGCTAAATTCCTGACTAGCTTTCAACTTGCAATCCTCCTGTTTTAGCCTACTGAGCTGCTGGGAATACAGGTGTGTGCCACTGCACCTGGTAAAATAATTATTTTTGATATTAACAAAATCATCATAATCTGTTGTTTTTCAAATTTTAGTTTGATGACTTACTCCTTTTCCAATTTTGATTCTTGATTAAAAATTCAAGTTTACATACAAGTAATTCATCAATTGTAAGCTAACTAGCTAAGGAGGGAAAAGGGTAAATCTAGTTACTTCATCTAAAAAACAGTGAGTCTACATATAGACAAACAGATCTAATAAACTGAATAGATAGTCCAGGAATAGATTCACATATATATATAAGCAACTGGTTATTTTTGATTTATAGAAAATACCATTTATTCCATACAAAATGAAGTACACATTATAAAAAGTAAGAACCTGCTACATGAGGACAGTAGTAAAATCCCAACTATTAGTAAAAATTCATTTTGGAAACTTATTTTTAATCAATTTTTAAAAGGAATTTAGTGGCAAAATGTTACTCTTTTAAACAAACTGCACCAGAAAACTGGATATCTATATGCTTAAATAAAACAAAAAACTTCACATTCACAGTATCCGTCATCATATAAAAATTAACTCTAAATGGATCTCAGACCTAAAAGTAAATCCTAAAACTATAAATATCTAGAAAAATATGGAAAAAAAATATGAGACTGGATTACATAAAGATTTCTTTGATAAATCACTAGAGGATGGATGATTCATAAGACAATAGCAATGATAAATTGGACTTAATCAAATTTAAAAACTTCAAAGGAAACTTAAAAAGAAAGGAAAAGCTATAGATAGGGAGACATTTGCAAATAAAATGAAATATCAGCATATACAGAACTTTGAAAACTCAATAATCAGAAAGAAACATCCCAATAAAAAATGGGTGAAGTATCTGAACGAAGACTCTCCCAGACCAAAAGGCCTCAAATAAATTCTATGATAGTGAACTAGACTGAAGAACTTTCCAATGAAGATAGAAAACAATATGCAGAGCTTAGGAAAACCAGAGGGTTTAATAGGAATAGGGAAAATATACTGTTAAATTTAGTCAGCATTCATTAAACACTTCCAACATGACAAGATAGATGTCAACACTGATAGAAACTGGTGAGGTGAAAAGGCTAAGGATCAAAAGGGAACACTGCTCTGAATACCTGTTGTTTCCTGTCACAGAACTCACGTCCATCACATATCTTATGTCTTTCTATTACCTTTCTGAGACAACTAACTCTTTGCCCTTCATCCCTCACTTTTTTCTCCTATTCCAACCTTTTTGTTCAAGATGGAAAATGTTTTTTTATCTTTTCCAACCACACCCACTGCAACATTTAAATTGATTGACCCAATCTACCATCCTTCTTTATAGCTTCAACTGTTGCAGGTAGGTTATCCCTCACTACTCCAAATGTCCTAGAGTGACCTGCCCCTGTCCTTGCTACCTTTCACTCTTCCTGCTCTGTCTTCATCCACTCATATCTTATATCTGTCTTGCCTTCTACTGCTCAAAATTTCATGAATACTTCTCAGCAGAGCTATTCCTTCCACCAAACCCTAAAACTCAAGTGAGGTTCAGATATAAGGAAAGTCCTGTACTCACCATCTGGGTAGTTGGGTAAAGAAAAGAATAAATAAATATTCATGCTGTATCAATGGGAGGTTGTTCCTTGTGTCACAAGTTAGAATTTTTTTTTATTAAATTACTTATTTATTCTGTTATACATGATGGCAGGATGCAATTCACTTCATATAGACACATATAGAACACAATTTTTCAAATCATAGATTGTACAGAAAGTATTTTCACACCATTTGTGTCTTCATACATGTACTTAGGGTAATGACATCTAACTCATTCCACCATCATTCTGACACCCTTGGCCGTTCCCTTCCCTTCCCTTCGCCCTATCTAAAGTTCCTCCATTCCTCCCATGCACCCTCACCACTGCATTTATGAGTCAGCATCCTCATATCAAAGAAAACATGCAGCCTTTGGTTTTGGGGGGATTGGCTTACTTCACTTAGCATTATATTCCCAATTCCATCCACTTACCTGCAAATGCCATGATTTTATTCTCTTTTATTGCTGAGTAATATTCCATTGTGTATATATACCACATTTTCTTTATCCATTCATCTATCTAGGTTGGTTCCACAGTTTAGCTATTGTGAATTGTGCTACTATAAACATTGATGTGGCTGTGTCCCTGTAGTAGCTGTTTTTAAGTTCTTTGGGTATAGACTGAGGAGAGGGATAGGTAGGTCAAATGGTGGTCTCATTCCCAATTTTCCAAGAAATCTCCATACTGCTTTCCATATTGGCTGCACCAATTTGCAGTCCCACCAGCAATGTATGAGTGTACCTTTTTCCCCACATCCTCACCAACACTTATTGTTGTTTCTTTGCATAATAGCTGCCATTCTGACAGGAGTGAGAAGAAATCTTAGTTTTGATTTGCATTTCTCTAATTGCTAGACATGTTGAACATTTTTTCATATATTTGTTGATTGATTATATATCATCTTCTGAGAAAAGTCTGTTGAGTTCCTTGGCACATTTATTGATTGGGTTATTTGTTTTTTCTGGTGTTAAGATTTTTATATATTCTAGAGATTAGTGCTCCAACATGTGTGTAGTATGAATTTGTTTCCAATTAAAAGGCTTTCTATTCACCTCACTGATTGTTTCTTTTGCTGAGAAGAAGCTTTTTAGTTTGAATCCATCCCATTTATTGATTCTTGATATTAATTCTTGTCCTATAGAAGTTTTATTTGAGGAAGTTGGGGCTTAATCCCACATGATGGAGATTTGGGCTGACTTTTTCTTCTAATAGACGCAGTGTAATTTTGGTTTAATTCCTAGGTGCTTAATCCACTTTGAGTTGAACAAGTTAGATATTTAAATGCATTTAAAATTACAGGTTTGTCAAATTATACTACATTTTTTAAAAGCCAAGTAATTCTAAAAACCTTATTAAAAAAAGCTGCAATTTTATCTCATAGCTCTCAACCATAATCCCCTACTTTCTAGTAACCTCTACTACCTACTCTTGTTTCTTTGATAGTCACATTCTTTATATTTCTAAATTAAATGTATTTAATGTTTCTATTATTGATGTCAAAATATATTCACAGTGGAGCCATCTATGAACTATATTCACAACCTGTTGCCACACAGTTTTGTCATTTGAGTAATTTTACCTAATTTAAAAATTAGTTTTCTAAGTACTTACCACTATTTCATTCCAACTTTCTTCAGAAGCATAAATTTCCTTCCAATATTTTTAAAAACACCAGGTTGTTATTTTTTCCCTTCCTCTTATTTCTCTCTCCTTCCTTCCTTCTACTTTTTTAATTAATTAATTTTAATTAGGTATATATGACAGCAAAATGCATTTTGATTCATTGTATACAATTGTAGCTCAACTTTTGATTTCTCTTATAGTACACTGCTAAGAGCCACAGCCAAGTAATATGATGCATGGCATTTTTGGTTGAAAGGTGAGGCCAGCAAGCCATTGAGATGATATGATTATGTTAAGATCTGCATTCATATGGATATTGGACTCCTGCTGTCCACCTTGGCCTGCTACAGGACTCCTGGAGAGTTCCCATTGGTTGGGGAAGTGCAGTAGGAGGGAATTCCGGAGGAGGGACTTCCTGTTGGGTCCATCGGCAATCGTCCCGGGAGCATATGGGGCATTGGCAGCAGTTTCAAAAATAAAGTTTGTTCCTGCTTAAGTGGCTCGTGATTTTGTGCCCAGCCAGACTGTGGCAGTACATGATGTAGCATCACACCATATGGGCATCATACATGAACCTAGGGTAATGATGTCCATTTCATTCCACCGTCTTTCCTGCCCCCAGACCCTAACCTCTCCCCACACTCCCCTTTGCCCAATCAAAGTTCCTCCATTTTTCCCATGCCCCCATTATGGATCAGCATCCACATATCAGAGAGAATATTCGGACTTTGGTTTTTTGGGATTGGCTTACTTTGCTTAGAATTATATTCTCCAACTCCATCCATTTACCTGCAAATGCCATAATTTTATTCTCTTTTAATGCTGAATAATAATCCATTGTGTATATATACCGGTTTCTTTATCCATTTATCTATTGAAGGGCCTCTGGGTTGGTTCCACAATTTAGCTATTGTGAACTGAGCTGCTATCAACATTGATGTGGCTGCATTACTATAGTATGCTGATTTTAAGTCCTTTGGGTATAGACAGAGGAGTGGGTCAAATAGTGGTTCCATTCCAAGTTTTCTAAGGAATGTCCATACTGCTTACAGATTGGTTGCACCAATATGCAGTCCCACCAACAATATATGAGTGTGCCTTTTCCCCTATATCCTCACCGACAGTTACTGTTTGTATTCTTGGTAACTGCCATTCTGACTGACGTGAGATGAAATCTGAAAGTAGTTTTGATTTGTATTTCTTTAATTGCTAGAGATGTTGAACATTTTTTCATATATTTATTGATCAATTGCATATCTTCTTCTGAGAAGTGTCTGTTCAGCTCCTTAGCCCATTTATTGATTAGGTTTGTTTGTTTGTTTGGTGTTAAGATTTTTGAGTTCTTTATATATACTGGAGATTAGTGCTGTATCTGATGTGCAGGTGGCAAAAATTTGTTCCCAATTAATAAGCTCTCTATTCACCTCACTGATTGTTTCTTTTTCTAAGAAAAAGCTAGCTGAAATTTGTACTGGTTTTCCTCTAGACAGGTATCTACTTCAGATTTTCCTTTATCGTTATCTTAAGAAACTCATTTACATGTTTCCTGTATTAAAGGCTTTAATTTCTGGGTCTTGTGATTTCTGTATTGATTTACTGATTTTATTAGAACATTTCCTTCATTTCCTGAGAAGAGGTGCCTAGAAGACCCATCTAAAATTTTCTTCAAGCTATCTTCACATTTGAGCGACAGTGTGGCTGGGTACAGAAATCGAGATTAGTATATTCAAGAGTACATTTGAATATACAAGATTAGTACATTCAATTAGTACATTTTTGATATATGACAACTTTTAAATCATATCGTTCCCTCTTCCCCTTCTGCCTCACATCTGGACAAGGTGACAAGAAAGTCTGGTATTCATCATTTGAAAAAGTTCAAACTACACATGGGAAATCTCATTTTGGTCACTCTTTTACCACTATAAAAATCCCAAACCAGTCTCCTTTCCCTGCCTACTCAACCCATTTTCAGTCTTGTTTGGGAGCCACATTTCTCTCCAGAAAGACTCATTATATGAATAAAAACCAACTGTCTTGTGTAGATGGCATCATGGGTCTTGAAATCCAAATAAAATTTTGGGTGAGTCTTCATTCTACCCTTGCAAAATCAGTTCTCTTCAGAATTGTAAATGCACTTTCCCCACCATGTTCTAGTTTCTTTTTGGAGTTGCTCTTCAGAAGTCCAATGTCATCAAACTATTGATCACTTACTTCCAACTGCTTTTATTTTTCCTCTGGATGACTAAAACACTTTTTTTCTTTATTCTCAGGGTTATAAAACTATTTAATGTTGTATCTTGGTGTGGGTCTTTATTTCATTTATTGTGATGGCATACTTTATACTATCTGAAATTTGTTCTTGACATCTCTGTTCACACTGTTTAGAATGTGAAAGGTGCTTTCAACATGTGTCCTTATGACCATGTTTAATTCTCAAAATATTTCTAGTCTTATGTGTTTAATAATTTCTTTTGAGTTTACTCTATAATATTAGAAATCATGATTTTTCAGATATTATAATTCTTGGTCTCACCTCTAATTATTTTTAATTACAGTGCTCATTCAGATACCATAAGGTTCATTGTTTTCAAGGGTATTATTCAGTAGTTTTGCTCTCCTCACAGAATTATGCCATCATTATCACTATTTTTATCATCTTTTTGATTTCTTCTATTTTCCCAAATGTTTCCTTACATTTATTTTATATTTCTATAGGATGTTTTATTTCTGATTTTATATTTTTAAAATTATTTTTGTTCTATGAATTCTCCTTTTTTATGGTCTCCTGCACTTGTTTTTTGGAAACATTTTTCATGACTCTAAGTATATTAATGAAACTTTTTAAAAAAATGGTCTCTTTCCTTTTCATTATCTCTGTCATTCAAATTTATTTTTATTTGTATCTTTTAAAGATTTTCTTCAAATGCCTGATAATTCTTCAATGATTGAGGATGAAGCATTAAAAAAGCATTATAAATGGGGTTTAAGAAGAAGTAGATTTTACTGAAAGGTATTTAGACATGGACCAGGCTATTACTGCCAGAATATACGTCATCTCCTCTGCAGAGAAGGAGGAACCCTCTAATCTCCTTCTTGGGGTGTATTTGCCTGAGTAGGATAAGGAGTTCAAGGGTTTTACCACTGAGTATAGAGACTTTCACTTAATTCCCTTCCCTAATTTTCAGTATAGCACCTTTCACTTGAGCAGCACCTAATATCTCTTAGCCAAGTCTCTCTGCTTCAATCGATCTGAACTGTCAGGGTGGGCAGAAGGATAGTTACCTTCACAAGCATGGATCAAAGAATCTGCTACCTTAAAAGTTTTCCATATGTCCCAACACTAACTATACCCATTCATTCAGGAATATGTGATGCCTCCAATTCCTGAAACTAGAGCCTGAGTCAGTTTACTTCTTGGTTTATACTTACTCTAGGAACTAAGCATTAAGCCCTTTGTTTTAGGTCATTAATTCAACTATAATTCATTCATCTATCTTCCAGGTACCAAGCATTTTTGTTATCTCTTACCTGCTGCAGTGTATTCTTTTTTTCACCTAGTGGCTTCACACCTCTTTTATGCCTTTATTGGTATTTTAGTACTGTTTCAGAAGGGAAAAATAGATGTGTATGTTCAATCTTCCTCATTAAATATGCAATTCTGAATTGATTTTTCAAGACGTACAAAGTTACTAGATTGTACTCTGCTTGGAAGTAGTTCTCAGGGTTTTATCCTGGCAGCAGGGACTAGTAATTGCCAGTGTTTCCAATATAATTAGGAGATAAGGGGAAGGATATCAGGTATTTCAAATGTAGATTTTTTGGGGGGAGGGGTACCAGGGAATGAACATGGGGGCACTTGACCACAGAATCACATCCACAGCCCTATTTTGTAATTTTATATAGAGACAAAGTCTCTCTGCTTAGTGCCTCACTTTTGCTGAGGTTGGCCTTGAACTCTCGATTCTCCTGTCTCAGCCTCCTGAGCTGCTGGGATTACAGGCATGTGCCACTGCACCAGGCTCAAATGTAGTTCTTAATCTATCACCTTGACAATTCCTTCAGGATCCCTTCATTACAGTTTTGGAGGATTTTTTTTTATATGTATTGGTCAAGCTTGAATATCTCTAGAGCTATTTTTACCTCTGCAGTGGTTTGTTTCCACTTTTGATATATTCACCAATTTGATCTCATTTGCTTTTAAGAATTCCTCTGTATTTCTGGTGTGCCAAAACATCCTTTTTTTCTTTTCAAAAATAACTTGAATTATATCAGTATATAGATGAATCAGATTTCTACCACCAGCCCTTTATGTCCATCTGCCCATTTGACATTGCTAGTCATCTTAAAGGCATTCATAACTTACAGTTAAAGTGATCATATCATTCCTATTTTAAAACTTTAATGGCTTCCTGCTGCTGTAAAGATAAACATCAATATCTTTGACATGGACTACAAAGCTATACAAAGTCTGTAGTTGTCCTACAGTCTTGTAATCACATTTCCATCTACTGACCATCTTTCAGTTCACTGAACACATAATGGTCAGTCCCATGGTAAGGTCTTTGCAAATGCTCTTTACTATCACTTTGCATAGTAAATTTCTACCCTCCTTCCTTTAGATCTCAATTCAATTGCCATTCCCTCAAGGAAACATTCCCTAATTTAACTAAATTCAATTAATTATACTCAAGTCAATCTCCCTTTTGTAACACTAATCACAATAACAATTTCATATTCACCGGTATGTGCTTGTAGGCTTTGGGGATGAGGTATAGAGTACAATCAGAAGGATTTACACTGGGCAAGGGGAAAGATATGTTCCCCTGAAATAGAAAGCTGAAGAGGGATACAAATGAATGTTGATTAGGAGGAAAGACAGAAAGCACTAATAATCTTACCTGATATTAGTTCACTATTAGATGAACTACTATCAACCTGGAGGTCCTCAGTCACTGAGTCCTATGTGGAATAAGAATAAAAGAGCATTAATTATGTGACTCAATATTTTCATATCATATTGATTTGGTTATTTTAAACATGAAAAACTAATGTCAATTTTGTATATCAGTTTCATATGTATAACAGATTCAGCTTACTGATCACAAATGTAATCCTTTATTTAATATTGTATCTAAAAATAAATATTAAACTAGAATACTATGGACATATATATAGGTAATCAACAATATAGGAATCCTACTACTGTGAGATAAACCAGTAAATAGAAGTCAAAGGTGAATATTTTTCTGATCCCCTAAGGAGGAAAGGCTTTTTTCTCTAAATATAAAGGCAAACAAATATATTAAAAGAAAAAAAATTAATAGATAAGTCTAAAATTCTATATCTAAAATTAAAAACATAAACAAACATGGTAATATTTGTCATATAGGTATAAAACTATCATCAATATGTTATAAATAGATATTACACATACCAAAAAAAGAAAAACAAATGGTGAGTAACTTGAGGAAAAAGAGTACCAACTCACTAGCATTCAAAGATATGGAAAACAACTACACACACACATACACATACACACACACACACACACACACATTCAGTTTGAGTAATATGGCGCCAACTTGCCAACATGATTAAAAAAAACTGTAAATACAATCCACTCTTTGACCTATTGCAAAGTATTTATTTTAGTGTAAGAATTTGAGATATGTAAAAAAAAAAAAAAACCTTCTGTACCAGGATGTCCACTAATATCTAAAATAGCAAAACCTTAGAAATAATCTCAATCTCCAACAAATTACAGTATATGTATCTATCCATAAGACAAAACACTAAGACATTAAAAATCATTTTTGAAGACTATTTTATGTTAAGGTAATATATACAAAAGCATAAAAATTTGTAAAATGTTTAAAAACACACAGAATAAAAGCATAAAAATATAAAATTTTGAAGAAACTTTAAAATATTTTTTCATAGTATAAATCATCTACAAGGAACACTTTGTTGTATGCTGTTAAAATATGAGGTAAAAGAGTTTAAAAAAGAAAAAAGCCTTAGGTAGAAGCTGACATCCCCAAGTCATGCTACAGAGAAATATGTAAGCTAAAAATATGGGATTTGATAATCATGTTTAATGCTAACGTCAGATACGTCACAATTCATTTTTAAAAGTCGAGTTTCCCCCAAACTACTGCTATACAACTATAAAATATTGTACAGAATCCACATTAAGTACACCAAGAGTTTATATAGTTTATGAATGAATGTTAGACTGCTCTGTAACATATTGAACTCTTGGTAATAAATCATATTTCTAATGGTTAATAGAAAGTCAAATGGAAACCATGAAAATGGCTTTAAAATGTCAATGTGCTACCCAAACATAAAGAAATCATTAAACAACATTTTTAATCTGTCACACAGAAAATGAGCCATAAATACATTTCGCCAACACTTGTTAAAGAAAAAAAAATGAAAGTGAACAGCTATGAATCTACCTGAGTCAGAAATTTAAGGTCTTCTTATCTAAAAACCACACCACTCTTGATAAAAATACTAGAAAGCTATGCAGTTTCTACTGAACACCATTTTATTCTTTCATTCGGAAGGGCATTAACTACATGTGTCTACACTAAGTGTACCCTCCCACCATAGGAGAAACATACATACACTCAATGGAGCCATCTTCTCATCCTGGGTCTCTTCTTGAGTGCTATTTTCTTTCAGGCTTGTCTCTCCTGTAATTCTTAACTGAGTGCTAACAAATAAACAACACAATTAGTTTGCACCATGTGGATTTGACTCTACCCGTCTCTCTCTTCATATTGTTCTGAACCTGAAAGGCTCTTTAGAAGCATCTTCAGGAAGAAGTAAGGACCAGGAGATTTGCACCAATACCCAAATGGCGCCACAAATACTTTCCTAGAGGTTTTACATTTCACTTGCTTTAGATAACTTGGCAAGATTTCAGCTTTCTTTTTTTTTTTTTTTTTTTAACAAAATTCTTTGTGAAGTCAAATTTCTCCATCTAAGTAAAACAATATTAGAGTATTCCATTTATTCTCTTTGTTGAGTCTTAGAATGGCAGGCTACTTTGCAAAAAAAAAAAAAAAAAAAAGAACTGAGGTTTTCTAAGAAGCCAGGCGCCCTGGACGGCACCCAGGCTACCCACCTTGGCAATGCAGAGCTGCTAGCTCCCTGCCTGCTCTGCTCAGTCTCTGCTATCTTCGGCAAACCGTGCTGTTTGCCTTTCCCCTTCAGGCCTGCAAGAGGGCAGCACATTTCAGGGAAAGAGCTTGGCAGCCCACTCAACGGCCTGGGGGAACCCTGGGCTGGGGGCCTAGGCCTGCCGCCCTGCCCCCCACCTCCCGGGGACACGCCACAGCTCCCCCTCCCCCCCCACCAACCCCCCGGGTTCCAAGGAAAGGACAAGCCTTGAGCCCAAACCTGGCCGGGCCTGTGTCCTCAGGGGCAGGCCTTGGTTAGGAGTCGGAGTTACATTGAGCCTCTGGCCTGCCCGCTTCTTGTAGGTGTAGACCCGTAAAGACCACAAGGCCACCCCACTCCTAGGCCTTGGGAGCCCTGGAGCCCTCGACATCCTGTCCTGCCTCGTCCTTTCCTGAGGAATGGAGCTACAGTCAGAAGCACAGATCAGGCCTGAAGACCAACACTCCAAAGCCAGAGCCAAGGAGTCTCCTCCCGCCTTTTTATCTCGTTGAGGCCTGGCAGGGGCTTCTGGGAAGACGGAGGATTCGGAGGCCTCGCTCCCGGAAGGAAGCGCTGGGTCTCCTCCGGTCTCACTGCCAGCGGAACCCGAGTTTGTTGGGAAAGGCTTTTTTTTTTTTTTTTAAATCCGTGTAGGAGGTCACTCTTTTACTTTTCATTTACTCATTAATGTCACTTAGGCCCAACACGGGCTACCCATGCTTCCGCCACTCTCCTTAGCACTGCATAAGGCCTTAGTAATGGGGTTTTAGGTCTCTGGGCACATGAAGTCCAGCTAGGGATCTGCCCCATCTCAGTGCAGGAACTTCAGAGAGGAATGAGTGCACAATAAGGCGTTAAGGAGCATCTATTTGGCACTTGAGAGTCTAACCAAGCCTTCTAGCATACTGGATTCTCAAGGACAGAGACCCTTAGTCTGTGCCCAGAAGCTACCTCGTGGACATCTGGGCATCTTGTGGTCAAGGCAGAATACTCCTCAGGGGCTCCGCGACCCTTGGGGCTCAACTCAATGAGTTTCCCTTGTCTCCATAAACCCAGGTTGAACCATCTGGCTGCATCCAATAAGCATATTGCACACACGACTATAACAAGTCTCCTTTTTTCTTAATTTTTTTTTCACAGCATTGGAAAATGCAGTCTGTAGAGATAAAATTAGGAAAAGCTCAAAGACTTTTTCTGGGATTATAAGCACATATATACCCGGTGTATTCGTAATAAAGTTACTCTGAAGTTTTGTATTTAAAATTTTCTCATAGAAACATTGATGACAGTTGATTTAATATATAATTAATCATCAAAATACAATAACAAAAGAAGAAAGAACAGAGGGTAGTGTTAGGTGCAGGACAGGCTGAGTAAGCTGTCTGCAGGGCATGCTGAACAAAGTTAGCTGCAGGATGACCTGGCCACTCAAACCCCCTGTCTGGTTCTTTATCACCTGTTTGCTTCAAGCCCAAACACCCAAGCCCCCCTCAAGGCTGAGCGCTTTGCCCCCCTGCTCAAGGCTGAACACTCAGCCTGCCGCTCAAGGCCGAACACTTAACCCCCTTTTGTGCCAACAAGGCAGCTTGCAGACCCAGAGACCCCATTAGATTTGGGCTGTAAAAACTCCTTCCTACTGGGCCTGTCTCTCTTGCTCTCCATCTCTCTTACTCTCTCTCTCGCTCTTTCTTGTGTGCCCTCTCTCTCTTGCTCTCTCCCTCTCCATTTCTCCTCTTTCCTCTCTCTCTCTCTCTCTCTCTCTCTCTCTCTCTCTCTCTCTCTCTC